TCCTAGCAAGAAGTCACTTTCCTCTCAAGTCCCTAAAGCATAGTCTTCATTCTCTTTGGTAAAAAAGCCCACCACAAATAGTGGCCCATGGGTCATGCCTGAGGCTTCTGACTCCCTGCCCCGGAGAGGAAACCTCTGTTCCCAGGACAGAAGGAAATCCAGGCTCAGAGGCCTGTCACTGTCCCACATGGCCTGCACAGATTGTCTCCTCCTGCTTCCTGCAGACAAGTCTGCAGGACATGGCTGGAAGAGTGAATAGGAGGGTTTGGACTTTAGAATAGTCCTATATCAGTAGAGGACAGGTGTCGCAGTAGAGAGAGCCCAGCCTTTGGAGTCAGTGAGAACTGCGTTTGAATCTAGGTTCTAGGACTCACTAGCCTTCAGTTAATTACTCATTCTTTCTAAGACTCTGCTTCTCTCCTCTGTTTCACAGGGACGGTAACTCCCGCATAGCAGGTGGTGTTGAGAATCAGAGATCATACAGCTGGTGCCCAGTCTCTTTCTGGTCCCAGGCGTACCAGTGGAGCGTTTCTGAGCATGGATCCAACCATCCCAGCCTAGGGGACAGAACTCCTGCCAACTGATGCAAAAGAAAAGAACCCTCCACTAACCCATGGCTTGACGACCCTGATCCTGAACTTGCTGGGCAAGTCATCATTGCCCTGGCCAGGCTAACAGGAAACACGTTGTCCTCTGCCTCCTGGGCTTCCGCACGCACAGAAACGCTTTCTCTGTCTACCTCACTGACCTGGCCAGGGCCAAATTCCTCTTCCTCTGCTTCCACATTACCTGTTCCATGAAGAAACTCATCAACTTTTTCCATCCCACCTCCACCTTCATCCACCATATTTAGTGCTGAAACAACTATATACATATGTGTGTATACACACAAATATATATATAGTCGCTCACATATAAAATACACATTGGTCTGTATCATTTTTATTTAACCGATCTTGGAGGTCCTTTCATATCAGTTTGTTATTCTTTCCATACAGCCACAGAGTATTCCATAAACGGACAATAATTTATACAGTATCCATGATCATTTTGGCTGGTTACAATCTTTTATTACAAATAATGCTACATTCATTCACTCTGTACATATGTCCCTTGAACATACACAGGTATATCTCTGGGATAAATTCTGAGGTTAGGAATTACAGGGAGAAAAGTATGATACTTTGTATGTTCGTACATGTTGCAAATTGCCTTGCCTGAAGGATGTGTACATTTGCACTCCCACCAGACAAGAGGGAAAGTGCCTGGTCCCCATCATCTCCACACAGTACGCTGTCAAACCTCTTGGGCTTTTATATGGGAATGAGTTAAATATAATTCTGTGTAATTTTAATTCATGTCTTTTATTAGACTTGGGTTTCTTATCCTTTCATATGTTTAAGAGCCATTTTTGTTTGCAATAAATTAGGAATTCATGACCTAAGTCATTTTCTCATTGACTTTTTAAATTTTAAATCATCATTTTAAAGAATCTTTTTATAAATAAAATAAGTTAGCACTTTGGCTATGATATGTTACCAATATTTTCCCAATATTTCATATTTTGAGCATTGTATTTCATGCCCTGCCAAAAATGTCTTTCTTTTTGACTTTATTACTCTCAGTTGTTTGCCCAACAATGTGGCCTCCAGCCACCTGCCTTCACTGTCTTCTTGTCCGGGGTGGTGTTTCGGTTGATGTCTGAGGTCCTGGACTCCCACCACACCACTTGCCATTCTCTCCCACATCTCTTCCACTTAGTCCTCAGGCCAATCTTCCTCTGCTACCGCTTTGAAAAGATCTGCGATGACTCCACATTGCTAAGCCAAAGGTCAACTTCTTGACCGCTCAACTGTAACTGACACTATTTACTGACCAATGACTCCATCTCTTGGGATCCTGGGACACTGCACCCTCCTAGTTTCCCTCCTTCCCCCACAGTTGCTCCTTTACATGTTTTGCCATGACTTTCACATGCAACCTTTATCACATACTAAATTCCTATATGCATTTCTATCTGATTCTAAGATGCTTGCTCTAATGATCAGTTTCTCTATGGATGGTTTACTAGGATTTCTCCAGACTCTTAACAGCTGCAAACCCCTTCAGACCTCTTTCCTTTTCAGTCTCTATTAACTTTTCATTCAGCTCCTTGAGGATAAGCTCCAAAAG